TATCGTTAAAATGCCTACCAAGTAAGTACATCAACCTCATATAAGAATTTTATTCAAGCTATAACTTACGAAAACTTTCAATTCCAACTGGCTTTAGACGGATCACTGTCCCAGTTCTTACTTAACGTCTCCATGTTCGTTCTCCTAAGATAAAGCTCGTCTAAGTCTTCGGGGATTAGTCTCCCTCATACGATAAGATTAACTTGTCAACTTAGATGACAGTTCTATTTGGTAGAAACGTTGCCAAGAGTGCGGGATCTTCTGATCGACTTGGGCATGTTTGGAATGCAACCACCTCCTTCTAAATGCAGGATGTTGCATCAGGACTGGTTTTCATCAACGCCTAAACTGCCAACGAGGAGTAAAGTGGTCGATCTCGTTGACCACTTTATTTCCAAGTCTCATAAACCCTGATGGGTTGGTCTGAAGAAATCGTGGAGTAGTTCACCCTTCTTTTTCGGTGTAAACTATGGTCATTATGAACAGGATATACACGGGTTACTAGTATACGACGACATGTGTCGTTGAAGCTTTACTCATGTAACTTACGAACACAGGACATACAGAGCTGAGGTTAGAAACAGGTTATTAAGTAAAAATGGCAAAATAATTCCATAAATTGTGTTTCCACTGGCAAGTAAGCCCTTTTCAGTCTTCCGGGTAGTGCCGGCAGCTTTCTCGCATGACAGGTTGTATCGTTTAGTCCCTGTTGTAAATAAAAACTGTAGCTTAGTGATAAAAGCACTTCCAAACTACTGAATTGCGGGTTGAAAGCCAGTTTTATTTAACTAACCGAGCAGTCACTAACCGTAACATAGTGCCTCAAAGCTTACTACTGTTACATTGATTATTTCTGTTTCAGTCAGTCAGTTACAACGTAGAGCTTCGTATGTACGTTGCCATACCACATTTACACGGGGACGCAACTGTCACTTCAAATATCATAGTAGTAGAAGTATTAGTAGTAGGATCTAATGAAAATAACTTAAAAAGATAAAGGTGGTGAGGAACTCAGAGGGTTAGGATTTTAGAGAACACAGAATGGACGCACCGGTTTTGAACCATGCCGTTCAAGGTCTCTAACCATCGGAGGTTTTCGTCTCGCAGACCCCAACCAGGTAGCCTACAACTACCAACATGACTCAGTCCGTTTGTCAGTGACTTCATGGATTTGTGCCATGTTTTGGTCTGGCCGCCCCTATCTTTCTTCCAACCTACTCCTACACTACAAAACAAAGCTCGTCGCGGCAGTCGGTGGTTAGGCATTCGTAACACATGTCCCAACCATCTCAACTGATGAAGTTTCAATACTTCATCTATTGATTTGCCATCCCTACCTAGGATCCGTTTCCTAACAACAGCATTGCTTACTCGATTGTCCCACGGTGCGCTAGCAATGCTGCGAGGACACCTATGCTCGAAAACAAGTAACCTACGAGTATCTTCTACTGTGACTGATCATGTTTCGATGCCACAAAGTACGACGGAGCGAACTGCTGCGTAGAACACTCGTCCTTTGGTTAGCAGACGGATATCTCGCCTACGCCATAGATGACGCAAGTCGGCAGATGCCAATCGAGCGTTCAGTATCCATGCTGAGATTTCGTCAGTCACCAGGCCATTAGCGCTGATGAAAATCTCAAGGTAAGTGAAGCGGTCTACACGTTCGACTACTCCACTCCCTATCACTAGTTCAGGTGATGATGATACAAGCCAATCTTGAAGCAATATTTTGCATTACGATGGGGAGAATCGCATCCCGAAAATGCGTTGTTGCTTAGGGTGGTTAGAAGGCTCTGCATTTTATCAGTGTCTTCACCCAGTAGAATTATGTTATCTGCATATTCTAAGTCAACAGACGAGTCTCCTGGTAGAAGATCCACTCCTGAAATGTCAGACGAAGACAATATCATATCTAGAAGCAAGTCTATGACAAAATTAAACAAGAATGGAGAAAGTGGACATCCTTGACGGACACCACTTGAGGTAACCAGTTCCGATGACAGTTTGCATTAAGCTGTAACTCGACCAGTAGTGTTCGAGTAGAGAGCTTGTATAAGGTCAATGCACTGCTTTAGTATACCTCTCAGTGACAGACACTGCCAAAGGACTTCACGATCAACAGAGTCGAATACCGCCTTAAGGTCCAGGAAGGCAACTATTGTCGGACGCCGAAACGTGTGTCTATCTCCCAGGACCTGACGAAGAGTGAATATTTGGTCTATACAACCACGTCCAGGTCTGAACCCACCCTGATTTTCTGGAGTCTGCTCTCCACGAGCTCTAGTTCGGCGTCGAAGTATCATCGAGGCTAACATTTTGGACACCATATCATTCAAATTGATTCCTCTGTGATTGTCACAAGAGGACTTTTGTCTTTTTATTAACTGAGACAATCAGCGATTGAGACCAGTCAGATGGGATTACGCCCAGTTCCCAGATTCTACCTAAAATCTGAGTCAATGTAACTGCTAAAAGTGGACTACCCTCCTTAAAAACCTTAGGGGTCAACCTATCAGGACCCTCTGCTCTCCCTCGCTTCAGGTTTCCTAACGCTTTCTCAATTTCATAAATAGTTGGAGGACTTACGCCGATTTGCTATTCAGGTTGACTGGAGATCTTGGGCGACCGAAGTGTGGCTGAAGGCCAATCGAACTGATCCCTAAAGTGACCTGCCCATCGATCCAATCGCCTGGAACGAGAATGAGTAATAAGACCATCCTTTTCCGAAATAGTCTTACACTCAGATTCCTAATACCGGTCTAAACAGTTGTTTACTGTTACCTATCGCCGCAGCCTTTTCCATTTCTCTTGCTTTCGTTACGCACCACTGTTCGTGATCATTGCGTAGGCTTTTTCCCAGCCTGGGCCTAAGCTGATTACGCTCCTCATCGCATTCAGAGCCACATGGGATGAGTTTCCGAGCATCCATCAGTTCGGTGGATGCCTCATAAACCCACCGCCTCTGTCTAACTTTGTGGTTTACCTTGCTAGCGGATATCGCTGCTGTTTCCACAGCTTTTTGGATATCATTCCAAGTTAGACATCACTTTCTACATGGCTGCCCAGCTGTTTTTCTGATTGTTCCTGAAATATATTCTTAGCTTTGTTATCATTAATTAGAATCCTAACAGGTTTCCTTGCGGTGTCTTTCCTACGTTCAGTAAGCCTCAAACAAATACGCGCTCGCATTAGAGCATGGTCTGAATCTAAACAAGTGCTCCAGAATGAGTGGTAGTCTTTAAGAGCCCCTCCACCGATGGCTGATAGCAATGCGGTCTAGTTGGGTTTTTCCTTATGCCTAAAGTTAGTGTTTGCTAGGAATAGGTGGTTATCTGAGCGTAGCTGCAGCAGGCGGTCTCCATTATCTGATCTTTGAGCCACGAAACCCACCCAGGTGTCTTTCCTTTTCACCTAGTCTACCTACTTGAGCATTAAGGTCATCAGCAATCGGAGCGCTTGACCTTTTCGAGGAGGTCCGAAGTCTTTCTGTAGAACCCTTCTTTTATCTTGTCTGAACTGTAGTCAGTGGGAGCGTAGGCAGAGACAACAAAGAGGCAACGGCGAGTTCCCCTATCTTTACGAGTGCTTACTGTCCTGTTTAGTTGGACCACGCATAAGCGACTGTCTACCCGAATCCAATCTAAGAGAGCTAGTTCTACCCTAGAACTTAATACCATACCTACACCAGCAAGGCCACGGGAAGCGGCGGCAGGAGACCAGGAGTTATGTCTCGTGAGTCATAAGGCAGTAAATACTAGAAAGCACCCAACCAAAACGCATTTCCTTTATTAGTCCATGGAGTATAAGGATGCCTTTGGGAAAAGGAAAACTCTTCCAGAAGGCTAGATAAAACCCACGAGGTCCCTGATATCATTATCCCAGTAACTAGTCTATTTTTGTGACATCCTGCAGAGCTTCGTCAAAATTCGCAAAAATGCCATATGTTAACAGCTAGTTTGATGAAGTGCTAATGAATTTCAGCAGGATAGGAAAACAATAACTTTTCAAGAACTGTCTATATTATAACCTACAGTACAAACATTAGACGGTTCGCCAAGTTGATATCTGAAGTAGTAAAATTCAGTAATCTCAAGCCGTGTATCAGTTGATTGGTGGACTAATTTTGGCAACATGTTGATCGTTGCTGCAACCTTGGTTGGGTTTGCCTATCATGATGACCTAAGCGGGTTATATTGGCTGGAATATATGTTCCTTAAGGTCCTACTATGCCAGGCGGGTCGACTGAAGAACGGTAAGATTAAAAGCAGCAACTCAAGGTCTGAGGGTGAAGTCGTACTGCTGACTGTAGAGGGGTGTGACAGCAGTAAGGTGTTTCTCTCGGACAACCAGCATCTGCAGCGATGCTGCCTTCCCACAAGGAAGGACGGGGTTAGAAAAGGTTCACTATAACAATGTAGCACCTCACATTGCCCAACGGATTTCCGTCTGCGGTGTCGAAGCCTTTTGAAGAGCGGAGCTAACACTTTAAAAACTCGTAGAAAAGCTGTGTGTCCCCGGCCACAAGCAGTTGTCCCTTGAACTATGTGGTCACGCTTCTAGGTCTCCCGAACCAACGCTAATCCAATTTCCTTCCCAGGATCCTTAGGAAATATCCTTTCACGGTGTGGGCAACCGGGAAGTGACATCCGCCCTCGTACCCGTAATAAAATCCTTTGGTAACATGTATTTATGAGATATGTCTGCATTGTACGCGATGCTAAATAATCTTGTGACAATTAGATGAGTTGGTCGAATTTTACTAGTCATTTACTATTCATGTACTGAACTCTTCCACATGTACACTCAGTACATATGACTGATCCTGTAGATTACCTTGTTGCTTTCTACCCTAGTTGTTTGAATTCAGTTATCAAACTATGCATGGAGTTACTAAACCTTTCTGCGGAATAAAAACAGATAGACTTACTTTACTTACAGAGTGCTCTTTCGCATAGTTTTAAACAAACTAATGCAATTATAATATGTTAAATAAGGTATTGGTGTTAAATATAATTTTTTTTAAAAAAAAAACGAATTTTTACAGTAAATTTGTATGCTACAAACCATTTGAGTCTAGCTTTTATGATACAGGTTCTATGTAATCTGAATAAATGCCAACTTCTGGATTTGGTAATTTAGACCATTCTATTAAACGATGAAATGTTGTAAAATGTGTAAGGAATGCAGATGGAATAGCCACACCTTGAACACGATAAACAATGTTGTTTGAAGATCCTCGTAGATGGCCTATTCGAGAAAATGAACTGATGGATATTTTTCCAATAAGACCAGTAGATCGGATTAGCGGACCGTTAGTGAAACACTAATAAAGATAAAATAAATATAGACAGAAGGCGTGTTAACCCGATTTTTTGTGCTTATTTTCTATCAAATCGCCAAACATACTACTAAATACTTACTTACTTACGCCTGTTACCCCCAATGGAGGAGCATAGGCCGCCCACCAGTTTTCTCCAACCAACTCTGTCCTGGGCTTCCCTCTCCAATTCTGTCCAATGTTTGTTCATTCCTCTCATATTTTTCTCTATTTCTCGGCGTAATGTATTCTTTGGCCTTCCGCTTTTCCTTTTGCGTTGAGGGTTCCATGTGAGGGCTTGTCTCGTGACGCAGTTAGGTGCTTTTCGTAGTGTGTGTCCTATCCAATTCCACCGCTTCTTCCTGATTTCCTCATCCACTGGAATCTGGTTTGTTCTCTCCCACAGTTCGTTGTTGCTGATGGTGTCTGGTCAACGAATCTGAAGTATTTTGCGTAGACAACACTTGTATCTTCTGGATGATGGCTTTCGTAGTTCTCCAAGTTTCCGCTCCGTACAGTAGAACCGTCTTCACATTTGTATTGAAAATGCTGATTTTGGTTTTGGTTGAAAGTTGTTTGGAGTTCCAGATATTTTTCAACTGTAGAAATGCATCCCTTGCTTTACCGATCCGCGCCCTCAAATCTGTATCGAATCCACCTTGCTTGTCGATGATGCTGCCCAGATATGTAAAGGTGTTAACGTCCTCCAAGGCACCTCCATCAAGAGTGATTTGGTTGGTGCATGTTGTGTTGCATCGGAGAACTTTGCTTTTTCCTTTATGTATGTTGAGACCTACTGCTGCAGAGGCTGCTGCTGGTCGTCTTCTCTTGCATTTGTTGTTGAGTGTGCGATAGAAGAGCCAAGTCATCTGCGAAGTCCAGATCGTCCAGCTGCGTCCTAGCTGTCCACTGAATACCGTTCTTCCCTCCAGATGTCGACGTCTTCATAATCCAGTCGATGACCAGGAGAAAGAGAAAGGGTGAAAGCAAGCAACCTTGCCTGACACCGGTCTTCACCTCGAACGAGTTTGTCAGCTGACCTCCGTGCACGATTTTGCAGTTGAATCCATCATAAGAATTCCGTATGATGTTAACTATTTTCTCAGGCACGCCATAGTGTCGAAGAAATACTACTAAATATTGATGTAATAAAACAGCACATTTATTTTGAGACTAAAATCTTATAATGGTTTCAGATAATTGTTGCATATAGAGTTTATATATTATACATGTTTTTAGCATGTAACAGGAATAATGCTTAGCCTATTACATAGAGCAGCAGACTCATAGCTATTAACTCATTCGCTTGTCAATGTGGAAGTAGAAAGAAAAACCCTCATTCATTTTACTAGGTACTTTTTATCTACGCCAACTACTGTTTCGTAAACCTATTCTCATCACAATATATCCAAAAAAGTAACCCTTAACTGAAGTGTTTCTCAAAAACGTTTGTCACGCAGAAATATCACGATCTTCGCTCAACAGGCTGTGTTAAGTTAATCCTATTTGTAAGGAACTATGATGTTGATTATCCGAAGCTTACCTAAGTAAGAACTTAATTGTTATGGTCTGTTGTTGTTAGCCTGTGATAAGTTACAACCGAAGTAATGCGATAGTTTGTACTAGTGTTTTGTTTTTTTTTTAATACCATATATGGTTAACAGTGTGTATGTTTTTGTCTGTCATGTGACACACTAACTATATTGTCAATAAAATTCGATAAGCCTGAATCAATAATAAAGAAAAAAACATTCAATACTTAACGGTAAATTAACAGTCACATGATAAACAGTAGATTGTAAGAATATCAAATATTACCTCAACAAAATTTCCAACTCGATATACAGGTAAAGTAGATCTTTCGGTAATTTTATCCTTGATTGACAAAGAATCTATCATATCTGATGATTCATGATCATTATTGAATACATGATTAATTTGTTGTGACCGTAATGGATTATCTGCAAATAATTTTTGTAATAGTTCACTATGAATCGATATATCTAATGGTTCAAAACTTAAATCATCCGTAGCTAATCGTTGAATATACATATTTAATGAATGTAATTCTTTCGGCGATGGTGACCAATTCACAAAAGATTCATATTGAGGATTAAATGAAATATCACATACAAATCCACCACTTTTTGGATGTAATACAGGTAAATTAATTATACGAACATTATGTTGATGATGAAAAGCTGTTTCCAATGTAGCTGCTAATAAAAGTGTACACGATTGCCAAAATGCATTATTTGCAATTGTTGGATCATGATGAGAATCCTGTCGAATATAGAAATAAAATAATATTAAGGCAGTTGTACAATATTATATATATATATATATATATATATATATCAAATCCAATAGTGGTAGCCATATAGTAGAAGTATTAGCAGTAATGCAGAAGATTAGGGTTTGAAGATATGATTCGAGAAGTATAATCCAACGAAATAAATTTAAAAACATAAAGATCATGAGCAATGTATAAGATTGGAATTTAATGGAAAACAAAGTCTACCATTGCAAGTGATTTAGAGCCATGTGATTCAGAGTCCCTAACCATCGATTACTATCATCTCGTGGAACCCAACCAGGTAGTTTACATCTAATGCAACGGCCTAATTCAGGGGTTTTGTGTCGTGTTTTATAGCATGATAAATAAATAGTTGTCTAACATACACCATGATAACATGCTATTTAAAAAGTATGAAAGTAAGTCAGTCAGATGCAACGTTTAACTTAAGTTGCCACACCATGTTAGCACAGAGAAATGGGATTACCCACAGGCCTTAAGATACTGCTTTTAATCTTCAGTTGACCTGTTTAGCATGGTAGGACCTAAAGGGACATATATTCCGGCTCGGTTGCGTCATCACGATGGATAAACCTAACCAACACATCTAGAGGTAGCTGTTACGCTCTGGAAAAAAAGTATGAATTTAAGAATATGTTTAAAAAATAATGACAAACTAAAACGAACCTTGAATTGAACAAAATCAAGCGAGCAATCACATAACAATGGCCTATTCATATCCCATGGAGTATTGTTAACCATAGCAATAACACTTTCTTTAACCAACATTTCAGACAAATGTTTTGCACAATCTAAAGGTGTTGATATGCCCTTAGTCATTTCCAATGTTGATTCCCCTAAAATTCCTCGATATGTAACTGTAACTTTTTCAACACGTGGTGATATGTAAAGATTAGTTTGTTGTTCTTTAGCTTCATTCCACAATTGTAAACAATCAAGATGACGTGGAATTTTCGATATTTCTTTATTCATACAAAGAGTACTACATAATCTAGTAGTAGAGTTGTAAAACAATTTTCGTCGCCACATTTAATAGACAGAAGTTGAAGAATCTGAAATATTCGGTAAAACAATATTTACGGATTGGTAGATATGGGGAAATGAAAACATGGGTCTGAAAGACTATGATTCGTCAAGTCTATATTTAGTGATTTTAGTAAAATGACTTTATATATTATAAACTTATATCACTATCAGCTACTACATTCTTAGTTAAATACAATGAAAAGACAAGGTTTAACAGAACTACATAATATATTAGTTCAATACATTTTATACAATCTAATCATACATTGGCTTGTAAAGAAATTTATTGATAGGTAATAAATATTAAATCAGATACGTTGGAATAGAGGAGTGATAATAGTGGAGAAAGTATATGAAGTACATCATAGTAAATCAATAACTTTTAGGGTAAATTTAGCATGAGTACTAATACTAATATAACCAGAGGAAATTTTTTATATCATGTCAACCAACTTAGTGGTAGTTGACAATTTTTCAAAATGGTTGTAAACAAGAAATTTAAACGCCCAAACGTGTGGATTCGATTATATGGTGTACTAAAGCTTTAACATGGACTATTGAATATATTATTGGATCCAATAGAGGACGAACCCCTTAATCCATGATATGAATATTGAAATTTTCTGCCAAGCATCGGTTAATTTCTGGAACTTAAGATGTGATCGAGTAGATGAAAGTGAGCTTAAAACTAGTGACTGTACAAGTCCTATCTTCATTCGACTTTAGCAAAGGAGTGTATATACAAAATGTCTTTAATATTAAGAAGTGCTCCAAACCAGTGCTATTTATCCTAATTACTATTTCGGTAGGTGCAACCTAAAAATGCTAGAGTAATGCCAGTCACAGTAAGTTTTAGTTACAGTAACGATGAATGATTCGCATACATTTGGTACTCCTAGCTCATGAGATCTGTTTCGTAGGCTTTGAGAATTAGTTAAAAAAGTTTATAGAGAGAACGAATTATCCGTATGAACCTTAGTTACATTTGGTTTTAAAACTTTACCATTCAGAAGGCTTGAGTTTTTGCGTCTTTCCTTCCATATTATTGGGTTTCTAGTTCATTAAGAGCGATTGAGTGGCCAATCCTATTACTCTAGGTGGATTTTCATTATCAGCTGATTTACCGAACCGAATCGTTCCCTCAATATGCATTTTCGAGTGTTGTTTCGTATGGGACACAGCAGATTTAATCAGCTGAGTCATTAACCTGGCAGCTGATCCGTTCTAGAACCGACTCGTAAATTCCATGAGTAAACTTCAGGACTGAATGCTTTTGAGGTTCGTACTTACGCTTCTTGGATCTATCTTTGTCGACCTCTTGGGAATAGTTACGGGAGACTCATTTTTTACATAGTTTTCCATTTTTCTCTTCGAATTTCCTCATTATATTTTTGGCATAAAGTGTAAAACGCCTGGTTTCTGTACATCAGCATTTTTAAACTTTACTTCCAGTTTGCGCAGTGGATATACTTCATGGGAATGGTGTATGTACCTTGATAGAGGTCTTTAGCCTTTAGCTTCCACGTCTGACTTTTAACAAGACGTTTTTTCATTTCTCAATACACTAGTAGACGCAAATATTGAAGGGGTAATTGCAGTTATATAAGTGTTGATTCATTTATCAACAAAAACGTTCTCTGGTTATTGCGATACTTTGCAGGGACGAAAGGTGATGTGCATTTAAAAAGAACACTGAAAAAAAGCGATAACGACACAGGTTGGTTGGTGAGCGATTTGATTAGACTTTGCATTCAATACAGTGGCTACCACTCAACAAAAATCCATACTTCATCGAACATTGTGTATTATAGGAATGTTAGCTTCGATAATACACTGAAGTCCGTTATGTAGATGTCGATTGTAAACATATGACATGCTGAATAAGTTAAAATAAACCGCAAAAGAATGATTTCGACTTATGGAATCCGATGTTTGGCAGTTTTAGTTGTTTCCCTGAAATAGGCAAAAGTTCCCCCGAAGTTGAGAGACTGTGACTTCTTTCATAGGGTAAAAAACACCCTTGCGAGTCAGGCAATTTCGATATGGCTCCTAACGAAAATGCAGGAAACCTGGGTGTTAATGTTCCTTTTGTGTAGGATCTAGGACGTTAACTAAAAATCCGAATAACTTTGCAACCTCAAAAAAAAACAAAAAGCCCCTCTCCTCACTGATTTCATTGACGAATAATACACGGACAGCTTCATAATTGTTATTAGGGTATACACCAAAAGTCACTCCAAGTTAAGTTTACCTCTCATCGGCACGACCTTGAACGGGCAATACCCAATATCTTTATAGCGAGCTAGTGTAAACCAATTGATTTCTTTGCGCTCGATTCTTGTTCTTTCGTTAAGATTCTAGGTGTTCGGTAATGTCTGACGAATAGGGGTCTAGCCACTCAACTGTTTAATATCAGTCAGTTGGCAGTTGGTTTTGGGTTTGTATGTCTCGGGATTTCCAATATATCCAATATCTTTTTCACGACCTAGTGTAAACCAATTTGATTTCTTCGCGCTCGATTCTTGTTCTTTCGGTACGGTTCTAGGTGTTCGGTAATGTCCAATGGATGGAGGTCTAGCCACTCGACTGTCTAATTCTAGTCAGTTGGCAGTTGGTTGTGAGTTTGTATGTCTCGGGATTTGAATGAAACGTTTGTTTCAGGGCAGTAGGGTTTCTGGATACTAGCAGCCGTCACTTTACCAAACCGGAGATCAGTTAGTTGCAATGTGGAGAGTAATAAGGGTAATAAGGGTAAATTAAAATGATAATATGAGTAAAATTTCAGAACTGAGTAATATATAGATGAATTTAGTTTATTAATTGGTAGTGAAGATTGTGAGAGAGGACCGAAGTGTAAGCAAGGGAGAGGAATAGGCGAGTTAAATTAATTAAGTGATCTGAGGAGATGGCAATGGTAACAACTAGCAGGTCTCAAGATATGCATCAGGCACAGCTTGTCCAAGAGGGAGATGATAGTCCGCATGTGAGTACGTGATTATCAAGTCTCTTCTTAAAGCAGTCCACTGAGGGGGCTGTAACTACCTCGGCTGGGAGAGCATTCCAAGTTGCGACGACTCGCAATGAGAAAAAGTGTGCACGAACCTGAGTGTTTGCTCTTTGATGTGCAATCTTTTGAGGATTGCCTCGAGGGGAGTGGTGGTGATGCATCGGTAAGATGCTCACATTGGGATGGTTGGGCGTGTTTAATATGGTGTACGCCATAATCAGGTCACCTCTGATTCTCCTGTAGCTCAGTGGGAATAATCCCAAGAGCTGGAGTCTATCGTCGTACGGTTTATTTTTCAGCCCTATCACCCATTTGGTTGCTCGTCTCTGCACTCGATCCAAGAGATTAATGTCTCTTTTAAGCATAGGGGGTGCGATGACGTTGTGAACCTCCAAGTGTGGGCGCGCGTACGTCTTAAACAGGGTTAAAAATAATTTCGGGGTTATAGCACCAAGCTGTCTTCGCATAAAGTGAAGAGTCGCATTTGCCTTGGCTGCATCCCCTACATAGTTCGGACTCGTGTGGAGGCTTTCTGTGGTTATTAAACCAAGATCGCGCTCTGAGGAGACATTAGGGAGCGGACTTCCATTGAGAAAGTAGGTGGTTTGCGTCATATGAGGCAGGAAATGCATGACGTGGCACTTCGGTTGGTTAAGTTTTAAACCGTTTTTCACTGCCCATTCCTCAATGGATGTAAGGTCCTTTTGAAGCTCAGTCGAATCCTCTTCGCTTCTAATGGATCTCCAGATCTTCGCATCGTCTGCGTAGATCAGTGCCGGTGAGCTAACTAAGCTTAGCAGGTCGTTACTGAATATCAGGAAGAGGAGTGGGCCTAGGATGGTCCCCTGTGAAACTCCTGAAGTGGATACTCTCCAACTCGCGTGCACCCTGTTTACCTTGGTGCGAAACTTTCTATTCTCAAGGTAGTTTCTGAGCCAAGATACGAGCGGGTCAGTGAAGCCCATTTCCACAACCTTTTCGATTAGGCGTGCGTGGGGCACTGTGTCAAAGGCTTTTGCGAAGTCGAGAAATACTACGTGCACTGGTATTTTACGGTCCAAGCAGGATGTCCAACTGTCCCATGCGATGAGAAGATTAGATGCACACGACCTGCCTTTCCGAAACCCATGTTGAGCTTCATGGAGTATTTTAGTCTTATCCATGTACTCCCTCATTTGTTCGTCCACTAGCCCTTCCATAACCTTTGATAATATAGGTAGTAGTGCGACTGGTCTGTAACAGGCTGGGTCCTTTCTATCTCCTCCTTTGAAGATTGGAGAGAGAGTAGCTTGTTTCCATTCCGCTGGGAATTGGTGTGACTCCAGTGAATGCCTGAAGAGGTTGCATAACGGTGAACAGAGGGCTTCAGCGCACTGTTGCAAGACTATAGGGCGGATGTTGTCACAACCTGGTGACTTACCTGGGCGTAAGGATTTTAGTTTCCTTGATACTAGGTCAGGGGTGATACGGATGTTCCCTAAGCCGTCAGCTGGCATTGGGTTGGCGTAATACTCTGAACATGTAGGCGCCTGGTTTAATTGATCAGAAAAATGGGTGTTGAAGATCTCGGCCATTTCTAGGTTGGTGAGGTCTTCTCCGTTAGGCCCTTTTAGGGGGCACAACCCTTGATTAGTAGGTTTTCTTTTGGACATGAACCTAAACAGATGTTTCGGGTTTGCCTCTATTCTGGCGGCTAGTATCGTCTGGAATTGTCTCCTGTCGCTTCGAACTTTGGTATTGCATCTGTTTCTCAATGCCAAGTAAGAACTGCGATCGGAATCCTTCAAGGAGACCTTCCACTTGTGCCAGGCTTTCCTCTTCGCCTGTAGCAAGCGTTCCGTGCCGCGCCTAACCCAGGTTCTTCTGTTCTGGCGTTTTGGGTGTGATTGAGGTACATTGTCTACGACAGCGTTTTGGATGATATCTCTCACTGCTTGCCAGTGATCATCTACTGTCAGCCTCCGCCACTCCCGTGGCCATGGGGCATGTAGGAGCACCTCTCTCATGCGTGTGTAGTTTGCCCTACTGTAGCAGAGGTAAGGCTCGTTATTGTCCGGTGTCAGCATTTCGTTTGTGACCATGTTAAACAGGACTGTGCCATGGTCACTACTACCTATTGGAGCGCGGATGTTAACATCCTCAACCAGGAGCTGGTCGTTCGTTAACAGATAATCTAGGTTTGAGGACTTCCCTTCCTTAGTCCACCTAGTGGCGCTGCGTACATGCTCAGTCATGCCAGAGCTTCTAATGGCTGTACCAAGTTGTCTTTGGAACCAACCAGTGGGGGTGATACTCTGGTTGCTGAGATTTAAAGATGGGGTATTGAAATCTCCAGCTAAGAGTATTTGGTCGAACCCCAGGAGTGGCAGTTGCAGAATTACGTCAACCAGTTTGCTTTTCTGGGCCCTAGTACCCGAAGGAGGTCGGTAGATCCCTCCAATCAAGTATTTCGTGCCATTTGAGTGGCACCAACACCAACATGATTCTGTCACCTCAGTTAGTTGGGTGTTGTATAGCCGCTCTGCTTTTAAGTGGCTATTTACATATATAGCCACTCCACCTCCAGTTTGGTGTTCCCTATCGCTTCGGAAGAGTGTCATGCCTGGCAAGCCCACTTCTGCGTCGGCAATGTCGGGGGATAGCCATGTTTCTGTTAGGATTATGATCTTCAGATCCATCTGAGAGCGCATATTCCTGACTTCTAACAGCTTACCCCTTAGTCCTCTTACGTTGCTATAGAGGCACTTGGTGGTTTGTCTCTGAACCTGGTGCACATTTGCAGCATCAGCCTTAGTCGGGTTTTCAGACAAGTTATTTAAACCGAGTCGGCCAGTTCTGTGGGAACTGGCCTCTGCAGGTTTTTTGCCTGCGCGGTTGGTTCACTCACATCTTGAGCCAGAGGTAGTTGACCGAGTTTAACTATCAGCTGTGTGCGTTCATTTTGGCCTCCCTGTTGTTGTCTCACAGATCTAGGTCGGCTCTCGCAACATCTGATGTGGCTAGGTAGATCGTTCTTCGAACTGTACCAAGCTTGTAGTGTTTCGGTCAGGTCTTCCCGGTTCCTGAGTGTTACAGCTATCAGGCGTGGTGACTTGATAGACGTAAGGTGTGACGGGCGGGGCAACCTGGAGATGGAGACTGCCATCGGGGTGTGGAGGGATAGGCTACGCGATAGCCATCGCCACTGTTGCACATCGTGCTCGTGTGCTTCGTCCGGGTTACCATTGGTGAGTTCGGGTATGCCGTGAACTACCATGGTGGTCTGTTCCTGGGTGTCTGGTGCAGTTCTGGCTGCTGCACGTACCGACCACGGCTTGTCATGCCTGATACGAATCAGCGAGGACAATTTGACCGATGGTCTTTGGGACGAAAGGATGATGTCCTCAGCTAGTCGTGCTGAATCAAGAGTTACCCTCATTGGAGGGGGTTTTCCTTTCGAGACGTTCTGACCTTTGAAAAGGCGACAGATTTTAGCTGGGACCTCGCACATTCCGAGGGTGGAGCAGAATTTATCCCATTGCTCTTTGTCGAAGGCAGCCCTACCTTCTAGCAAGCTTCCTTCCGACACTGGGACGTTAAATAAGATGAGGGAGTTAGATCTGTTGTCCCTGGTCTTGGGTGGAGGCTGCTTGTGAGTTGGGGTGTTTCCCTTTCCCTTCTTCACGGTTACCGATTGTTGCCTGTTGCTGGTAGCTACTGGGGGGACAACAACAACCGGCGGTTTTGTCGGCGTGTTAGGCAGGGTTGTTGTAGCCTTGGTCACTTTTTTTACCGGTTTAGTGCCAGGCGATTTTGCCTTGGTCGTTTGGACTTGAGGGCTGGTTTTAGGTGAGACCTGTGGCTTTGTCAGTGCCTCAGAAACTCTGCACCGAGGGCAGACGTACCAGAACCATGGGCAGGGGTGACTCAGCATGAAACCATAGTACTCTTTAGGTACTGTATTGTCGCAGTGACAATGTACCCACGTACTGCAGAAATTGCATTCAAAAGCATGGTCGCTGGTTTTGACTGGTGATGAGCAGGCAAAACAGTCGTCCTTATGCTGTTTCAGTGTCGACCGAGCCTTGGGGCGTCTTTTCCTCCTATTCTTAACTGACTTACTGGTCTTTTTAGGAATAGGGGTGGTGTTGTAGTGCCTCCACATATATTTCAGTTCTCTTACATCTAACTTGGTTAAGCCCTTTCGATTAATTTATTTAACCAAGCCATTTGTATAGCAACAACTCATATTTACCATTGTT